CAAAAGCTATTTTGCCCTTTCCCCCTTCGCTCCCCATTTAACTGAACGAAAGAGAATCTGCTTTGAATCGGACCCTAAAGGGAAAAGAAGAATGTGGGGATATTCTCGTGGGCGGAGTGTGGCTTTCTTGCCATTGTTGATCAGCAAGGAGGGCAAAGAGTGGGTGGCAACGTTCTGCCTCTCCTCCTGCCATCTAGTCTTCCTAACTTCCATGTTTCATCCCGAGGGAAGACATTAAGACTCCTCCGCAGTTTGTTAGTGCATGGTGTGAATAAGCAGAGAGGATTTGGGGTGGGGGGTGGGGTGGAGAAGTGTGTTGCAGAAAAGAGTAATCCTACTGTCCTTGCCATGCCTGGTGGCAACATCAGCACAGAAACATCATTTCGAGACTTATAGAAGACAACGTTGATCAAGGTTTAAAACCAAAACAGAGAATCAGGAGCCTTTTTTCACGGGGAAGAACTGTGGGGAACAACAGAATAACAGAGTTGGGAGCCCCTTGGAGATCTTCTAGTCCAACCTCCTGCTCAGGCAGGAAACCCCATACAAAAGGTTGTCCAATCTCTTCTTAAAAACTTCCAGTGTTGGAGCACCCACAACTTCTGGAGGCAAGCCATTCCACTGGTTGATTATTCTCATTGCCAGGAAATCTCTCTTTAATCCTCAAGGCTGCTTCTCTCCTTGATTAGTTTCCGCCCATTGTTTCTTGTCCTGTCTTCAGGTGCTTTGGAGAATAGCTTCATCCCCCTCTTCTTTGTGGCAACCCCTGAGATATTGGAACACTGCTATCATGTCCCCCCTTGTCCTTCTCTTCATTAAACTAGACATACCCAATTCCAGCAACCGTTCTTCCTAAGTTTTAGCCTCCAGTCCCCTGATCATCGTTGTTGCTCTTCTCTGTACTATTTCTAGAATCTCAACATCTTTTTTTACTTCATGGCAACCAAGTGTGGCCTTACCAAGGCATTGTAAAGGTTAATGCCATTCTATAATGCCTTGGTAAGAGCATACTTGGAAAACTGCATTCAATTTTGGAGCAGCAGTATAATGGTTAGCACAGCAGTGGGTATACTGAGCAGCGCAAAGGGCAGGTGAGGTGAGAGCCTTGAGTGGGTGGTGAGTTGAGCAAGAGGAGACAAAAGAAGGAGAGGGGACTGAAAAAATAGGAGTTAACCATAGTTCATCTCTCAGTTAACATCCAAGTTAAATATTCTGCTTCCCCAGTCAGCATTATCACCAATAACCATATAGGAGAGTTGTAAGGTTTCCTGTCAGGCTTGTAACAGGCCAACTTTATGTCTTTTTAAGTTAGAGTGCTGAGTCTAGTGAATCATTGAGGATGGTGGAGAGTTGGATCTGACCTTCCTGCCTTGCTTAGTCTCTAAAACGTGGACCTCCCTTCAGGTCTGCTTTTCTATTCTGGAAATCTTTCCAGCTGGTAGAGGAACAGCCATCCTTGAGAAAGCCAGCCCCCTTCTCCCCCTTGTTCCTCCAACTGTTTTGCTGTTTTCTTCCTTCCTTTCTCAGCCAGCTTCTGCCTCAAAGAATGCAGCTCTTGAATGAGAAAGCGGGTTGAGGACGCAGCTGACAAGGCCTGGAAGCTGATCCTCACGTCAGCAACACGCATTATTTGGCCTTGTTTTGCTTGCCGGGAAAACAAAAGTTCTTCCCTCTCTCCTTTCCTCCCTGAGCACCTGCATGCTGCATCCGGTGAGTTTCCAGGCAAACTTGAAAAAAAAAATTTAGCACAGGAAGGGGCACAACACTTTGGTTGAGGCCCAAACACCGTGCAAACTGGATGCTGAGCTACTCTAGGTAGAAATAGGGAAGCTTTGTGGCTGCAGGTCTCACCTACTTCCCATTATTAGATGCTTGAAATGTGATGGTCTGAACTGAAGTGGAATATAGCACAAGTAGCCCTAAACTTGCAACAATTCACTTAGCGACACTGAAAAAAAGTGACTTATGACCGCTCCCCGCACTTATGATGGTCACACCATCCCCATAGTCACATGATCCATATTCAGCTGTTTGGCCACCAGGATGTATTTAGAATTAGAATAGAGCTGGAAGAGACCTTGTAGGTCTTCTAATCCAGCCCCCCCTGTTCAAGCAGGAGAACCTATACCATCTCAGACAAGTGACTATCCAGTCTCTTCTTAAAAACCTCCAGTGATGGAGCGCCCACGATTTCTGGAGGCCAGCTGTTCCACTGGTTAATTGTCCTCACTGTCAGGAAGTTTCTCCTTAATTCCAGGTTGCTTCTCTCTGAAGAATTCTGGGAGTTGAAGTCCACAAGTCATAAAAGAGCCACATTTGAAGACCCCTGCCCTAAATTAAGGGGGAGGGAAATGCTTTTGTGCTTCTTGAAAAGAGAATGTTGAAATGAAGGATTGGAAGCAGCTTCAGAACTTGCATGCCCTAAGAAAAGCAATGCAACTCTTTGTCTTTCATATCTCCCCAAAGTAGCAGAAGGCCTGCCTTGGAATGCTAGTGTTGCAATTGTCCTCCTTTTCTAAAAATTGCGAAGAAAATAATAGTCGGGTCAATGCCTAAAGAGATACCTCAGCTTCATCTTGAGTTACTGAATTATTTTCTCCGGGCTTGTGAAGCCCAATAAACAGCGGAGAAGTCAGAAATGTACTGATAACTGTCCTTTTTTAAACTTTATTTGGTTTGGGCTTTAAATTTATTTTGTTTGCTGATGAGGCATTCTTTCTTTTTTTGAAAATTATTGTAAATGGAAACTGTGAGCATTATTTCCCTCCTGATAGATAACATGAATGTTGAGCTCGGCATTGTTCATTCAATCCTCTTTCACAATCATGGATAGTTCTCAGAAGAAGGACAGATGGTGTTCCCTTGGAAGTTCCCACTGTTATCATTGGATCTCCGGTTTGAATGGATTCCAGATTGAATGCAACATTTTGATCTCAGTTTCAGCTGTGCTTTATATTTGGAGCTGAGAAACAATGGATGGAAACTAATCAAAGAGAAAAGCAACCTGAAATTAAGCAGAAACTTCCTAACAGTCAGGACATTTAAGCAGCTTGCCTTCAGAAGTTATGAGTGCTCCATCATTGGAGGATTTTAAGAAGAGTCTGGACAGCCACTTGTCTGGAATGGTGTAGGGTCTCCTGCTTGAGCAGGGGGTTGGACTAGAAGACCTCCAAGGTCCCTTCCAATTCTGATATTCTGTAAATCTATCTGTGCATCACTTTTCTTTGGTTGATGTGAGTTGGGCCCATGGTTGATAAGTGGGACACTGTTCACAAGTGGTCCCTTTTCTATGGATACCTGAGATTCTCCAGCATCCACTGTGGCAGAAAAGATCTGGTCAAAGGAGACTATTCAAGTCTAGGCTGGCAAAATTGACCACATAAGAAAGGAGGAAAAAAATTCTCCTTTTATACAACTCTCTAATCCAGTGGTGGCAAACCTATGACACGGGTGCCAGAGGCGGCACTCAGAGCCCTCTCTGTGGGCACGCGCGCCGTCGCCCCAGTCCTAGGCCTTCAGCTGGGTTTTATAAAACCTTTTCGCTTTAGGCCTCCGCCGCCATGTACAAAAAAAAAGGTTCAATCCATCAGTCAATTTCAACTTCTCGTGGGAAAAAAAAAAGATCTTGCAAAGTTGGAATTGATTGATTGAACTTTTTAGTCCCACCCAGTCCACGCCACCCAGTGGGCCACACCCACACGGCACCTGACGATGCATAAGTGGGTTTTGGGTTGCAGTTTGGGCACTCGGTCTCTAAAAGGTTTGCCATCACTGCTCTAATCCCTTTATGGGTTAGAGTTGGGGCGACTGGATGGAGCTGAGCGTTTAAGGCTGGATGCCTTCCTGATGTGAAGCTTGCTTGCAGCAGATATTTTTTTTCTTTGCACGCCCTAGGAGAGAAATATCCTGCTGCTATCTGGGATTGAACTCTCAACCTTCCGAGTGGAAGGCAAATAGCTTCACCGCCAGGCCACCATACCGTTCGCAAGAAAGGAGGACATCTTTTACTGAAATATCAGTCAGGACCTTGGAGAGCTCTGTGGTTTTTTTTGGCAATGAAGGAAGGGATGATCCAATTCTGTGCTAGGAGAATCATCGCATCAAGAAGCATGCAGTTTTTATTTCTCTTCCCTGATGACTGAGGACACCACAGCTGGGATATTATCCACAGTTCTGGGCCTCACATTTTCAGATGGGTGTTGACAAGTTAGAGCAGGAGAGGGAAAGGCAACAAGGAAGTAAGGTAACAAGAGTAACAAGAGAGCCAAATTAAGGCACCAGACCAGAAACCAGGAGACTATGAGTTCTAGTCCTGCCCAAGGCATGAAAGCCAATTGGGTGAACTTGGGCCAATCATTCTCTTTCAGTCCAATCTACCTTACAGGGTTGTTGTTATGGAAAAACAGGAGGAGAGAGGAGTATTGTATGCTTGCCACCTTGAGTTAGCTATAAAAATAATAAAAATGGGATATACAAACAAATAAATTATACAGGGGTTGGGGGAAGATGATCTATGAGGGCAGGCTGATGGAACTTGGGATGTTCAGTCAGGAGGAAGCAAAACTGAGAGGAGAGATAATATCAGTCTCTAAGCATATAATAGACTGCCATAGGGAAGATGTTCAGGAGCTATGTTCTATTGCTGCAGAAACTAGCAGCCAAAGAAATAAATATAAGCTACAGCTACCTAATTTTGTGTCAGTATGAGGAAAAACTTTGTGATGGTAAGATATGTACAACAGTGGAACAGTCTCCTTATGGATTCCCCACCTCTGGAAATTTAGATAAAGAGGTTGGTCAGCCACTTCTCACGGATGGTTCCAGAGGATTGGATTACCTGCGGCACGTGGTCTCTTTTAATTCCATAATTCCATGATCTGTGATTTAACTGATAGACTTGGAAACTGGCTGGAGCTGGGTAATATTTGGATGGAGGAATACCTGGAAACACTTGAGCGGTGGGGTAGAGTAAATAATGGGAAGGGGGAGAGATTCTGGAAGAAGGCAAGGACAAACTATTTCTGTGCTGATAAAAAGATGACATGTCTAAGTCTATGAAGCCACAAGGTCATGTGACTTCAAAAGACTCAATGCTAACTTAACTTGGGGGAGTCTTTTCTCTTTTATTAGGACAATAGAAAGATTATAGTTCAGGATTAGTATGATGAGTGAATGAACTCTGTTTGGCTGGATATGAATTACATGCTAAGCCATAAGCTATGCCTTACAAATTACAGTGCCTGGGAGGAGATTTTGGCTTTACTCCGTATGTATATCCAAACCTATTGTCATAGTTTTGCTCTGAAGATGGAGGAAACCACTCATGTCCAGATTGTGGAGGAAATCCCCCCTGAATATTGCTTGCAACCTTGGGCTTAACACAGGGGTCTCCAAACTTGGCAATTGTTAAGACTTGTGGACTTCAACTCTCAGAATTCCCCACCCAGCATGGTTAGCTAAGGAATTCTGGGAATTGAAGAATTCTGGGAGTTTCGCAAGTCTTAAAGTTACCAAGTTTGGAGATCCTTGGCTTAATGCAGTATTTGCTTCCAACCAGGCTCAATTGTTTCGTCAACACAACAGACTGGAAATTAAGATTCGATTACAAGTCTGCTCTATGAGTCAGAGCACAATGGTAATGACTGTGTTCCCCAGAGAGCCCTTCGACCATAGAATCCACTACCCTTCCATGAAGTCTTGCTGCTAAATCCAAGGATTCGTGTCTCCTAATGTTGATCGGTCCTAAGCATCCTGGGGCCCAATTCTCCAAACCCACGCGTTTCCTGAGTGGTGAAGCACCTACTTCCCAAACCACTGGGGAGCCACGTCTGCAGTCCTTGCTCAGCTAAAAACACCAGGTTAGGGAAGGCTGTTATTCAGATGAAAGGAAAGAGTTTCGTTGTGATGTTCCCATAAATTCTTAGGATCTAAGAAGATAAGAAATAAGAGTTTGGAACTCTGCCAAGGGTACAAATGAAGCTTCAAGATTTTTATTTTATTTTATTTTTTTGCAAAATTTACATAAGCTTTAGCTGACCTACTGCCTTTCAGACAAGTTAGGGTTCCAGAATTCCCAGCCGGTTTGATCAAGCTGCCTAGGAAGGTTGGTGACTCAAAACACATTTGAGGAACACCAGCTGGGGAAAGCTGGTCTCTATGATGCTGATTTTATTATTCACAGAACCGTAGCTTCATTTTGGGGGTCAGAGGATCTGGCCAACTGTAACTCTCTATTTATGTATCTTGGGCAGACTTTTCTCAAGTCGAGAACAGATCAAAACCTCATAAGGCTTTTGAGAAACTGCCTTCTTTCTTTATTCGTGAGGTTATTGGCTGGATCCGGTGCTCATGCAGAGCAATCTATCTGCAGCCTACAATTGCTTAATCAGGCACATGCTGAGAGTTTGGGATAATTTCAGGAGGCTGGTTAATACAGGGATTTTCAACCACAAGTTTCTGAAACACACAGATAAATCATGTCTGATCCTTGAGGTAACGATCTGTTAGGAATGGTGACTTTAGGTGACCCTGAAATAAGCAATTAGTATTTCTCTTCTTTGACAGGAATCATCCTGCCAGCTGTGTCTGCACTCTCAATATCTTGGAACCAAAGCAAAGAAGGGAAATGCAGAGATGTTTGGGACTGAATTCTCTGCAAACCATCATTTTTCAGTTCTTTGGGATTAGTGTTTGGAAAATGAGCAACAAGAACTCCTGTAGATCCAGAGGTATGTCTGAGATGTCCATTTGGGGTTTTTTGGCATTCTCTTCCGTTACCTGCTACTTTCAGGATAATCAGTTGGCCTGTTAGCCCCAAGATGCAACCTTCCCTCTATACTGGGGTGTCCAAACTTGACAACTTTAAGACCTGTGGCCGGCTAGGAAATGCTGGGAGTGGAAGTCCAAAAGTCCTAAAGTTGCCAAGACTAGACACCCCTGCTCTATACCTTAATTCCCCCTTTAGTGTTTGGAAAGAATTTTGAAGTCTGGGCACTCCATTAAACAAGACCCCTTTATAAACAGCCCATTGAGATTCACATTCTTACAAAGCCCACAAAGAGGAAGCAAACACAAAAGTGCAGGATGCTTTATTTTTTTTTTCTCGCAGCAGAATAAAAAAAATACCATATAAAGCAACCAATTCTATGACAAGCACGCTTTCCCCAGAAATTCAAGCAAAGAGAAGAAAACTCCATTTTATATATAAAGCCTTCCTTTGAACAGTTCAGGCATCTCAGTCCAGAGGGTGTGTTCAAAACAGCCAAGAAGGCATGGAGAACATTTTGGTGGAAAGAAACTCCACCGGTTTTTAATATTCAGTTGCACTGTTGCGGTCACCACCTCAGCTTTTTCTTAATATATATTTATTGTGTCTTATCAACAAGAATAAAATGCAAAAGAGAGGAAACAGAAAAATATATACTTGTATCCAGTAATAACAAAAATGTGTACAGTAATAATAATAAATCTAACATTAAACATACTAAAAAAAATCCACCCTGGTTGGATGCTGGAATATATATTTTTTCTTGTAAAATAAGGATGAGAACATTTATAATTATTTATAGATCATCTTGATTTTTTTAGACCTACATCCTCTGGACACCCCTGATCTCTGCACTGAGAACCAAGCCTTTCAGTCATGGCTTGGCCCTATGGAGTTCTGGTTCTGTTGGAATTAGGCCCATCTTCTCTAAAACTGCAACTTCTGGTGCCGGGAAATAGCATCACTGAACTGGTGGAAGAATCAATCAAAATTTGCCAGGAAGCTTTGGGAGATCGGTAAAAGGAGCTGTGCAAGGATCCTCTAGTCCAGCGGTAAGCAACCCAAAACACTCAAAGAGCCACTTGGACCCGTTTCCCACGGAAAACAAAACACCGGGAGCCACAAAACCCTTTTGATATCTAAAATGAAGATAACACTGCATATATCCTTTTTTACCTTTATTATAGGTGTGTGTGTGTGTGTGTGTGTGTGTATGTATGTATATACATACACACAGAGGTAACAAAGGATATATGCAGTGTTATCTTCATTTTAGATGTCAAAAGGGTCTCTCTCTGTCTCTCTCTCTTCCTCCCTCTCTATCTGCCCTTGGTCTGCCAGTCCTCTTCCCCCACTCTCTTTCTTTCTCTCTCTCTCTCTTTCCCCCCTCTCTCTCTCCCTCCCTCTCTTTCCCCCCCCCTTTCTCCCTCTCTCCTATCTGCTGCTCACCTGGCAAGCTAGCTTCAAGCTGTTCTCCAACAAGCTCAGGGGTAAGGCTCTTTTATGAGTCATGGACTTCAACTCCCAGAATTCCTGAGTCAGCATAGCTGGGCTAGCTAGCTCTCTCCTGCCCTTCCTGCTTCCTGCAGAGACGCAGCAAAGGGAGGAGCTCCGCCCAATAAGCTTTTCAGCTCCTCGGAGAACGCTGTGAGTGCACTCTCTTTTATACACACACACAGAGAGAGAAGCAGGGAAGCGCAATTGCCTCTCTCTGTCTCTGTCTCTCTCTGCAAATGGCAGAGGAGGCTGGGAGCCACAGGGGAAGGCTCAAAGAGCTGCATGCGGCTCCGAAGCCGCAGGTTGCTGACCTGTGCTCTAGTTTCAAATACCGTGTTTCCCCAAAAGCAAGGCCTACCCTGAAAATAAGCCCTAGCTCGATTTTGGAGAGTGGGCCTAATATAAGCCCTACCCCCAAAATAAGGCCTAGTTTGGGGGCGAGGCACACACTTAAAAATCAAGCTGGGGTGGGGGTGGATCTGCCTCATGCGCTCCGCACCTGCTTACCTTGCAGGTAGGCCTCTCCTTACCAGCCCACTTCTTCTTCTGAGGCCTCTTCTGCAGTCAGGCCTGCATTTCTCAGTCACGGGCCTTTCCGGAAGGCCTCTGCAGCTGAGAACAGAGCTATAGATTCAATCCATAGTTCAGTTCTGCAAGACTCCAGCTGCCGAGCACCAAGCTATGGATTGAATCCATAGCTCGGTACTCTTCTGCTTAGGCCTTCTGGAAAGGCCTGACTGCAAAATGCAGGCCCAAATGCAGCTGCAGAACTTTGGCCCCAGAAGAAGTAGACTGGCTGGGTGGGGCTGTCGGTGCCAAAGGTGAGTATTAAAGCCACCCGCCAAAAATAAGCCCTGATGCCTCTTTTGGAGGCAAAAAAAAAAAAAAAAATAGACCCAGTCTTATTTTCGGGAAAACACAGTAGGAAGAAAGGACCGTTTTCTTTTCAAACGGTAAAAAATTTTTCTCGCAAAGGTTGGTCTGAAATATTTTGCTGCTAGGGCAAAATGGTATTTCCCGCCTTATGCATTCACTTCAGTAAACAGTAGGAAAGAAAAAGAATCCTCTCTCAAACAGAGAGGATGTCGGTATTTTAGGAAGCCATCAGTGACAGTAAGGAAGCATTCCGTCTTTCTTTAGTAGTAGTTGTCTCAAGTTGTGCAGAAAAAAATGACGCACAACAGTTTGTTTAGTGACCGTTCAAAATTAGAACAGCGCTGAAAAAAGGGACTTATGATTATTTTTCACATGACCATTGTGGCATTCCCCATGATCACGTGATCAAAATTCAGACACTTGGCAACTGACTCATATTTATGACCGTTGCAGTGTCCTGGAGTCACTTGGTAACAGCAGTTTTGGACTCCGTTGTGTCGTAAGTTGAGGACTAGCTGTAATTTAGTGCAGGACTAAGCCTGCTATCACCTCAGGGTCTTTGAGAGCCTGGAGATCATACTAACCATATTTTCTAAACATACTGGCATAATTTCTGCTATTTTGAGACAGAAAACATATGTAAACTGTCTTGGAAGACCCAAACTGAGCAACAATAAGTTTTTAACAACAACAATGCTGCCAAACCATTCTTGAAATCATTGCTTTAAAAAAAAAAAAAAAGAATGAACAAAACTTCCTGTATTTCACAACTTTGCCTCATCGGGGATCGTTTAATTGAGTGGCTTAAGTTCCTTCTTAAGCCACCTTTTCTCTAAAATATTTGGGAGGAAGTCATGACGGATCAGCTGGTTGAAACATGATAGAAGTGAATATGTAGCCTCGGGATGTTCAAGGATTTCTGAGGGAATATAATTCAGGAAAGGGTTGTGTCCATTCCATCTCCTGCCATTAATTAAAAGTCATGTTGATCTACAAGGGTTTCACTAATTCACTAACATTTGTTTTTCTCAGTACAGGCAGTCGTCCACTTAACCGTTTGAAGTTAAGACGGCACTGAAAAAGTAACATACTAAGAGGCTGAAACTCAGATCTCCTCCACTACTTGATGTCTAAGGTAGGCTGCTCTCTACACATCCCAGCTGATGTGTGGACAGGGTTTTTCTTGAGGATGGATAAAGACTCCTTATTTCTCAGTACATCACCCTGGTTATCCATCGGCTGATGAAATCTGTACACCCAGCTCTCTCTTCCTTCATGCACAATCTGGAGGATATTTCAAACTATCACCTAAAGGTCAAGAGAAAATGGCAGGCACCTTTCCCTTCACCTTGCTAATTAATGTGATGCCTTTACAATTATATAAAGAAGGCGTAAATGCTATTGGCTGGAAATCTCCTGCCTCTTGAATCTATAAAGATGCCACCATCACAATACATATTAACATACATTCAACGGATGCTGAAGCTCGGAAGCACACAAGTAGCTTAGAGAAATATTCTAGAATGCTTAACTGCTTATAATGGTTTTGTCATGTACAAGAAAATAGTAATCATCAGGATGTAAAAATTCCTGGTGTAATTTTTGTGTCCCAGATATTGCAGCATCTTTGTTAAGGGCATGAGAACCAGTTAACCAAACCAATTGAGCAATGCTTAGTTTTGAGAGCAAAGACCAGCATCTTATTCCTCACTCTTGACATAATACATGAAAGTGAATGAAATCTTACTTCCCATAATAATTTTGATTATTACAAACATCTCAGGATCAGTTGTCCTGGTTGTTGCTTAAAGTTTATATCTTTAGAAAGAACCCTTCATTTCCCAGCGTGGATTTTTCTGCCCAATGTGAAAATCCAGAAACATGAACAGCCCAGCTCCAATTAGTTTTTTAAAGCCATAAACCAAAGAGAAAGAAGTCCTAATTGAAAAGCACAGCTCTGAAAAATAATATTGCACAAGGTCGATTTCAACAAATTGGCAATGATTTCACAAAAGGAATGTCCCTCAGAAGGATTCATCCAGTGGAGCAATGTTTCTCAAAGCTTGGCGCTTGAAGATGTGTGGATTTCAAATCTTTCCTGGCTCGGGAATTCTGGGAGTTGAAGTCCACAAGTTATAAAAGGGCCATACCGGTAGTTCCGTACCCCTGTTCTAAACAGTTCCTCAAATATGACAGTTTTAAGATCTGTGGACATGGCTGGCTGGGGATTTCTGGGAGTTGACGTTCACAGACCTTACAATTGCCAAGCTTGGGCAACACTACTATAAAGCATTGTTTTGGTACTTTACAGTGCAGATACAATTGTATGTAAATCCCCTTTGCATGTAGCATCTGTTCATACATCATATGACTTGCATTTTAGAAGGCGAGGTGATCTCTGAGCTAGGAAGATTGATTCTCCTAAAGCTGTAGTTAGAAAGTCCAAACAATAAAAGCCTACCGTAGCTAAAATCATTCTCTTTCTCCTGCCGAGAAATGTGTGGGGACATGCAGCACCAAAGCAATAAAATTACATTCAGAACTGTGATGTTCTCCCATCACCTGTAATGTCCCACTAGGTATCAAATTACCCTCTGCAGCCCAGGATGAATGGAAGAGTCCAGATGTTAAATTCTCATACTCGAGGCACCAACCTCGATCAGGACAGCAGCATTCAGGCAGACCAGGAGTTGCAACTGAGCAACAATTGGCTGCCCACAGCCTCCTCACCCTTGCCCTAGCCCTGAACGATGGCAAAATGTTCCTAAGGGACCCTAAACTTCTAGTCCAACCCCATTATTCTATTAGGAGGCCATATGCTGGGTTTCTGATAGTAAAGTTACAAAGGCAGACAGCTAGCAACCACGTTCTCGGAGAAGAGAGTGGCTAGGAAGGAGACAATCTCTCTGTTTTCAGCTTCTCCATCTTGCTGCATTTCCAATTTCAGTTGCTGTTGTTGGCCTCTAAATTTGCAAGTCAACATGTAGCTGCCTTTGGGAGGGTAATTCTGCTCTGCAACTACTGTGTTTTGGGATGAGACGTGCATTTCATTTAGCTCTGCAAGCCGGTCCCCTCACCAGGACCCCAGGATCTGTGCTGAAGCTTGTCCTGCAGCCAAGGGCTGCCAGTTAAAGCCAGTTGTGCCTTGTGTCGCAGAACAACAGACATGATTAACATACAGAGTACATGGTTATGTGAAAAAGAGAGATGGACACATGAGCCTCAAATCCCTGTTTCTCACGTCTCTTTCCTTCCTGTATGCAGTCAGCAGTGGGCAAATTTAATAGGAGAGATCTGATTAGCAGACTTAACAGTATCCTGATTAAAATTTGAATGGGACCATCAGCAAATTTCTGCTTGTAATAAAGCAATTGGTGCTATTCCCCTGCATTCATCCAGATTAGAGCCCTGGATCGGCCCTGTTTTATTGTATATGAAAAGGAAAAAAAATGGCAGTGAAAATCCAGTGATAACATTGCCACTGCAAATCTGTTGTCTGATGTGACAGTGTGACTGCCTTGCAGGGAGTCTGGCCAGAGCATTTAAAATGCAGTGTAAAATATGAAAAAAAAAAAACCTTCAGGGATCGATGACTCCCCCAATGGGAGGAAATCTTGGCTAACAAGCTTACTTGATTCACAGTCAATGCGCAACATTTGAGAGGGGGCGGAAGAGTTTCATTTAGCCTTTGGAGAGAGGGCAAAGTCAGAAAAGGGAAAAAAGCAAGAACAAAATTTGATGTTGGTGCTTTGAAATCTGTATCAAATTTAAATCAGGCGATTTAATTAATATAAGTAATTTTTTTTTTTACAAAAAAATCCCCACCTATTTAATATGCTTTCTCCTCCTAGCTGTTGAACAGATTTGCAGTTCCAAAGCCAGATCCCATAGTCCTGATTTACACAGGGTAGACTCATTGCCCTCAGCTGGATTACATCATATCAGCATTTACTGCAAGCAGACAATTTTATTCCTAAAATTTCCCAAGGGCTTGGGCAATGAAAGAAAAATTGGGCTGTAGTTCAGACGGAGAAACTGAGGCAGAGCTGTTAAAAGTCTCGGACTCCGATGGAGCCAATGTGGCCTGCACAAAATTAGCTTGTGCAGGATTTAAATGCCCATCTAGAAAACAAGAAATGTATTTTGATGCCTTTGCTCTGAATTTATATTAAAGGGGCTAACTTTCCAGGCAATGCAAGAGGAAAATTGAACATCTTTTACCTTATCTAGAGAAAGGCTTGCTTTTTATTATTATTCAAAAAAAAAAAGAATTTGAGTGGAGATTAAAGGGCTTAACTGCATTGATAGGATGGGAGCAGTCAGCGGAGAAAATATTTTGCTATTGTTAAGAATCAGGAGAAAGCAAGGATGCTTTTGAAGCTTCTGATTTAGGCAACAGAATCTCTGGTTGTCCCTTTCTATATCTAATGATATTATCCCATCCATATTTTCATCTGAAGCATATGAGACTATAGCAACTTAACATTACGCAACAATTACAGGTTCTTGATGGTGTGTGACCTTTTCCACCGGGAATGGATTGTCCGAAATCTAAGATTTTTCTAAGTTCCTGGCATGCCACAGAAAACGTTGGAGTATTATCCAAGGAGCTCATACAGCTCACAAGGGGCAAAAGTCTGTCCCACCCTAGAAAGGACCCTTTTGGATGAAAAGCACAGGCTGGAACAGTGTTTTTCAACTCTGGCAACTTTAAGATGTGTGGACTTTAACTCTCAGCATTCCCCAGCCAGTTTTGGGAGTTGAAGTCCATACATCTTAAAACTGCCAAATTTGAAAAAAAAAAACCCACCACTATTCTAGAACATATCCAATATTATTCTGTGGTTGCAAAGAAGAAGATTGGGCGTGCCGTGCAAGTTTTCTGTCAAGAAATCTTTATTTACCATCATTGATAGATGCTCTCTCTGAGAAGCAATTTGTCACGATCACTCACATCAGGACTTTGAAAATGAGATGGATGGTTACTTTGCAAAGCAAAGCAATTTAGGAGCCCTGGATCATATTAGGAAGTTATGCAGTTCCTTAAACACATCTCCTAATCTCCATTCATTTCAATATAGTTATATTCTCTAAGAAGCTTTCAGGTCACCCAGGGCTTAGGTAAAGACTTGGGCTCAGGAACCAGGAGAAGATCTGATCTCCAAGCAGCCAATGCATTGGTGCCTAAGGAATTTAAGTTCTCCAGACCTCCCAGTCATTCTCAATTTCTGTCAAACTTCATCTCTCTGTCCCCAGCAACTGAAAATGATCCCTGATATACATTTGATTATAAAATAGCAGACAGAAGACTTGGAAAGATGCAAACACAAAAACAGCAGAGCTAATCCACACTTTGTTCAGTGTTGAGGAAAGAAGAGGTTGCTCTCCGGAGGTCCAGCCTGGGATCCAGCCATCACGCAGGGATACTGGTACCCCCCTCACTATGAAGTGAGGCCTTGGAGACCTCTGTGCTGACCGTGGAAAGAGGAAAGCTTTCATACTTCTCCTTCTCACGACTACAGCTGCAACGGTACAGCAAGGCCTTGACTTCCTTTTGGAAATTGCTGTTGAGGAACCCATAGATGATGGGGTTGATGCAGGTGGAAGCCATGGCCGTGAGATGGCAGAGGGAGAAAATTAAGTTGTAATAGCACACCGAGATCTTCTGGTGGTCCCAGTCATAGAGGGCGTTGAAGAACATGAGGGGAAACCAACAAGCAGCAAAAGCTACCACAATGCAAGCCAACATGATGTTGACCTTCCTGTGGCTGGTGGCCCGGGAGCCATCTTTTGCTCGCTCCACCATGTCCTTCCGGCGTTGAAGGCGTAGGAAGATGCGGAAGTAGCAGGCAAGGATGAGCAGTAAAGGTAGACAGTACTGGAAGAGCAGGAGGAAGGTTGTGTAAGACAAGCGATGTTGATTGGAGGGCCAGTGCTCAATGCAGACCAGGTGGTTGGCCAAGGAGTCAAAAGGAAGGCTCAGGTTTTGAAAGGGCTCGTTGGTCAAGATAGTGAAGGACAAGAAGGGCAAGGAAATACAGCAGGCTACCCCCCAGGTGAGGGCAACCGCCATATAAGCGTGGTTGGCTGCTGGTTTCCACCCAGTTGGGTTGATGATAAGCTGATGTCTCTCCAAAGCGATCCAGACCAGGGACAGGATGGACACTGTGACAGAAACACACTGGACAAAGGGGCTGACCTTGCAGACAACTTCTCCCAAGATCCAGTGATCCATCAGGGTGTAAATGACGGTGACGGGCATGCAAACAAGGGACATGAGGATGTCGGAGAAGGAGAGGTTGGCGATGAATATGTTGGTGACGTTCCTCATCTCCTTCTGCTGGATGATGACGCACACCAGGCAGAGGTTGCCCGTCAGCCCCACTGCAATGATGGCGCTGTAAGCCACGATCAGGAAGGTGCTGTTCCCCACCGACTCGCCACAAGACATGCCGTTCTCTTCCAGCAGATTCAATTGCTCTGAGAAGTTCAGATAGAGGAGATTCAGCAGCTGGTCCATAGCAGTTCCTCCTCTTGCTTAGGCAGATGGAAAGATGCACCCCCTCACCAAGGAGGCAGCCCTTGTTCCTTCTTACACGCTGCTGTGTTCACCAGGAATTTCCCTGTGCCAAGGAAGAATTAGTGCATTTATTACACTAAATATATACATATATATTTTCAACCACCAAGCACGTTACAGTTAATATTTCTTAAGGGGAAAATACTCTTAGTTTATAGTATGATATAAACTGAAAAGCAATGCAACTATGTAACTATATTATTTTAAAAATCTGCTGCATAAAAAAGCTGTATTGCAAAGAGAGCGAGGAACATTTTCCCCCCATAATCTATGCTGTTTAGAGAACTAAAAGGAAGAGGTAGAGATAAAAGTAATTTAATAACACTACAAAATAAACTAGAAGGTCAAAACAGAGCCATAATTCTAAAATATCTCTATTAATAAGTAGGTAGGTAGGTAGGTAGGGATGGATAGATAAGTAGGGATGGATAGGTAGGTAGGGATGGATAGGTATGATGGATAGATCCCTTTCCTCCCACTTCTGCTATCCCAAAGTGCTTTTTTTTCCAAAAGGCAACTGGACTTTCTTGGTGTGTGTGTGTTTTTTTTTCTCTTTTCTTGAAAATATTTTGCTTCTCATCCAAGAAGCTGCTTCAGTTCCACTTCTTCCGTCCATTCATCCAAGCTTCTCGAATGAGAAGCGAAACGTTTCCAAAATGGGGGGGGGGGCAAACAAGAAATTCTAGTTGCCCTTTGAAAAAAAAAAAAAGCACCTTTGGGGACAACTGTGACCTGGATGGTTGGGAAGCTACATAGACATTGATCCCAAAATGCCATTTGCCCAGATTTTAAAAATTAGGGACTGCTACATTTGGAGTCCATCTGGCTCCACAACCACGTTCTTGCAAAGAGAGTGCCTAGAAGTCACTTGCACCCAGCTGGGCTTAACAGTTATAGATCCTCACCCGACCCAGATCCTAAGCAAATGCTCTCCTAGGGTAGTCTAAAACGGGTAGGCAAGCTTGGCTCTTTTAGGACTTGTGGACTTCACCTCCCAGAATTCCTGAGCCAGCTGTGCTGGCTCAGGAATTCTGGGAGTTGAAGTCCAGGAGTCCTAAAAGAGCCAAGCTTGCCTATCCCTGGTAAGAAAAGCTCACCTGCCTGATCACCTGGACACAGCTGGTCAGCCCAGGTCCGGGAGAGGCTGCTGTATATTTGGAATCCAGAGATGGCGACCTGGCTACCCAAGGAGGACGCCCAGATCCTCCCACACCCCTCTGGGGTCTTGTCCTAATGCTGGGCACGACAAAACCGCCTGGAAGGACCTTGGCACCCACAAAGTTGCCAAAAGCGCCGCGTTTTGTCTCCTGGCTTTCCTGACCCACGGAACCACCCAGGGCAGCTGCTCCCCAGCAGAGCTTGGCAGCCTTTCCTTCCTGAACCAGCCTTGCCATCTTTGGGGGTGGGAAGTGGGGAGGGGGGTCCTGGTTCGGAGGTTTGCAGGCTTCCCCTCTTTGGCGTTGCAAAGGGCCCCACCCCCATCCTCGTTCCTTCCTTCCTTCCTTCCTTCCTTCCTTCCTTCCTTCCTTCCTTCCTTCCTTCCTTCCTTCCTTCCTTCCTTGTATTTGATGCATATATCATATACCTTTGCATCTCCGGCCAGGTGGAGAGGAACGCCAGCCGAACAGACTCCGGGGCTTGGGGCGCTCCCATGCCCGCCTTCTCTCGCCCTCCCGGGGCCCCCCTGCCCAGCCCCGCCGCTTGCCTGTCTCCTGGCCACGGCCAGATGTTGCGCAGCTGCCAGGCAGATCGCCGGAGTCTTCAGAAGAGCCGGCTTCTTCTCCGGACCGGGGCTTGCGCCTGGCTTGTGCTTGGCCGCTCTCCCGGGGGGCTCGGTGGGTGGGGACGGCTCTTACAGGCGTCGGAGCGAGGCTGCCCCGCGGGTCAGAGAGGCCGGGGACGCCCTGGGCATCCAGCGGGCGGAGGGCCGGGCAGGGGGAGCAGACACACACCCCTGGCCGGGCGGACGGACCCCTCCAGCGGCTGAAGGAGCTGCAGCGCCTGGCGGGGCGGCGTCCGCTCAGCCCGGCTCGCTCCTCTTCTGCCCGGCGGCTCAGCCCTGCTGCGCAGGTAGATCGCGCCTACGCGCTCCGGGCTGGCTCTCCGGGGCTCCTTCTTCCTCCTCCCCCTCCGCCGGGAAGACCTCCAAGGCGAGCAAAGCAGCCGGGCGCTCTTATGCGGGCGCCGCCAGGCAGCCGCGTCGCCCAAAGCCCTCCCTTGGGGGGAGTGGATGGGCTGGGCAGGCAGCCCCCCCTCCCCGGCTTCCCGCCCACGAGGACCCCTCCCAGGCCTCGCCCCCCGCCCCCGCCTCGCCCCCCCAGGGGCTCCGGCCTTTGGGGGGAAGGGGGGCAGGAGGCGTCCCGGGGCGAGGGGTTCCAGAGGCGGCTGGGGGAGCTGGCGCAGGAAGCCTTTGGAGCTGCTGGGTCTGCGTTTCCCAGCCCTTCCTGGAGGGCGCAGGACTCCCCTTCCTGGGGTGGGGGTACCCCGCGACTGTAAAAGCGCCCCCCCCCGCTCTTTCCCTGGAGCCGTTTCCCCCAAGAGGCATTGCCTGGAAGTGTGGGGAGCCAGAGGGGCAGCAGATGGTGGGAGAGAGGGAATGGCAGGCGATTCTCCCAACACCCCATGATCATCAATTCAGCCGTGTAAGAACCCTGTATTTGCCCAGGGAGGGGGACTATATCGGGACCCCTTTCTCCTTTCATAGACATTTCATCCCCTTTCCATGAAACCGAAGAACGAAATTGGGAGGGAAACCTGCAAGTGCTCCATGTGCGTTAGGATTTCCTTCCTTCCTTCCTTCCTTCCTTCCTTCCTTCCTTCCTTCCTTCCTTCCTTCCTTCCTTCCTTCCTTCCTTCCTTAATTCCTTCTTTCCTTCCTTAATTCCTTCCTTAATTCCTTTTCCTTCCTTCCTTCCTTACTTCCTTTTCCTTCCTTCCTTCCTTAATTCCTTCCTTCCTTCCTTAATTCCTTTTCCTTCCTTCCTTCCTTCCTTCCTTCCTTCCTTCCTTCCTTCCTTCCTTAATTCCCCTTCCTTCCTTCCTTCCTTCCTTCCTTCCTTCCTTCCTTCCTTCCTTCCTTCCTTCCTTCCTTCCTTCCTTCCTTTTATTTGATGCATATATCATAAACCTTTGAAGAAATCTGGAATCATTTTTTCCTTGGCCGTCTCTGCTCCACCAGCACCTAGTGTAAGTTTGAGCCCTACCTAGAGAAAAAGACCAATGTGATTTTCTCATCCCCTCCTTCCGGAATAGAGAGCCTGGAGGCACCTCCAGGAACACCCAACTTCCCCTGGTATCTGTCCATCCACCCACCTTGTGAACAGGCCCTGCAAAAAGGCTTCCTGGTCCTGCTGAAGGACCCTCCTCTGGACAGGAAACCCTAAAGACCATTTATCTTCCTGCAGGACTAATAAAATATGCAGGAATCTGCAGAGGGGGGGACTCCAAAATTTTCTGAATCCCCTTCAGTGATGGACAGCACTTGCACATGAGCTGCCCGGCACTTGCACGTCAACTGAGATGTGGCTCCTTCTCACTTAACATTAAAATGCTCCTGAAATGTGAACGAACCACACTTTTAAAATTACTATGATTTTTAAAGAGGGAAAAAGAAGGAGGAGAAAAAACAGAGAAGCAAAATTGCCAGCACCCAAAAAGTCTTCCCTAATCAATCCAGTCTTTTCCCATTTCCCTCGTGGAGCTGTGCACTTTCTCTTGGCTTTGCATCAGCTGAGCTATAAGAAGCCTGCAATTCTGACCCCAATTATTTATTTCCCACCTTTGCCTTAACTAATTGCCTGCTTCCCACCAGGCACCCATCGATGCAGCTCGCTATTACATCACCTTCTCTCTTCCTGATGCCCGAACCATGCAGCTATTTCCCCAAAGGCAATTTAAGCAGCCTGGGAAGGCAGAGGTGGAGAGCCAGAAGGGAGAGATTGAAGGGCTATAAAACCTGCCCAGGAAAGGCAGCCTATTGTGGGTGCTTTGTCAAGGGCCGCCCTCTCCCAGCCCTTGCACCCCTGCAGCTGACTGAGAAACGCACCCTATTTAAGAATAAAGAATGGATCAATAAGGCTTTGCTTTCATTGCTCTGCTTTCTCTTCATTCTTTCTTTGGATTCTAAACTGGGCTCCCTCAACCAACAACAGCTTCAAACCCTTCGCTTAGCTTTCATGGGAAGCTAAGGGTGGGGCATGGGGAGCCTTTTAGGGTGGGCTAAGGGGTTTACATGTGACCCCCACCCAGAGGAATGAGCTGTGTGCTGCAGAAGCAGTGATAGGATAGGACACAGGGAAGCCCTGAATGCAGAGCCAAGAATGACCAACTGGACATCAGCCACGATCTGCTTAATGCTTCTGATGCAGCACCTTCTGCTACAAATGCAGATTACATCGATTTTGCTTATTCAGACCTGTAAGATTCCATTTCTATAGCTGTTATATTGGTGGTCTTCAACTTACAACAGGTCATTTAGTAACCGTTCAAAGTTACAACGGCACTATGACCATTTTTCACACTTATGACTGTTGCAGCATCCCCATGGTCAGGTGATCAAAATTCAGAGGCTTGGCAACTGACTTGTACTTATGATAGTTGCAGTGTCCTGGGGTCATGTGATCCCTTTTTGGGACCTCCTGACGAGCAAGGTCCATGGGGAAGCCAGATACACTTAATGACCGTGTTACTAACTTTATGACTGCGGTGATCTACTTAACTGTGGCTAGGAAGATCATAAAGTGGGGCAAAACTTACTTCACTGTCTCTCTTAGCAACAGAACTTTTGGGCTTCATTGTTATAAGTCGAGGACTGCCTATAATACAGTTATAGACACAGAGACATAGTCATAGACAGCCAGCACATTACTAGTTGTCCAGAGTGGCATGGGGTATGTGGGCTGTGGGTTGGACATGCCTGGCTTGGCGTGACGCTGGGACCTCTGCGGTGGCATGTGAAACAGATGCAGAAAAGGGCCTGTGGTGAGAAGAACGCGAGAGTCACCTAAATGGCTTGGAGCCCCTGATGTCAAAGGGATTTCCTGCCATTCTCCAAGCTGCTGGTGAAGGATGCAGCTGGACCAAGAAAAGCCCTGCCAGAGGGAGCCTCTGGAGACGTCTGCGAAAAGGGCTCAACATTTGCAGGATCTTGGATGGGATGCAGGAGGAAATGTGAGCAGAGGAGTGATCGGAAATCACAAGCCACCCTTATTTTTCTAAAGAAGAACAGTCTCCAGGGATGGAGCAGAAGCCAAGGCAGATGGTTTGAGCAAGGCGCGAAGTACAGACCAGAAATTGTAAGTGTCCCTTAAAGGGTAACAGATGGACAGCTTAACAGCAAATAAGCAAAAAGATCTACATCACATCTGCCAGGCTGAACTCATCAATGGCTCAAACCAGGAGCTTAGTTATTAATTGGTGGGGGGAACGTTAAAAAACAGAGTGGAAGTATGTTGGACTTTGTGACTCATAATCTGGTAGGGGATGGAAGGAGTTGAAATCCAATGTCTGGAAGGGATCAGGTTGGGGAAGAAAAATGGCAGGAAAAATGTGAATTTGAGCAAAGTAACCCCCCTCTCTCTTTTACCATGCATTTATAAAGAATAATTAAGACTATTATTGGTCAGGCTGTAATCCAATAATCAAATCTAACAGATCAGTTTACGGTCCTCTACAGCAAATGGGGAAAGTGTAACTTTGTTCATGTAATAAACTTAACCTGATTATTGAATTAACCCACCTTCCAGATTGGCTCAGTACACTGTAGCATAAACCAGCCTTGTGCAACTCTTTAAGTCACAAAAAAATATCAAAAAACAAAGCAAAGATTATCATTAGGAAGTTGTTCAAAGCATCTGCTAGGTTTTTAACTGATCTGGGGGATGA